GGAATTTCAACAGTGCTTTTGTCGCCTTCTGTTGCAATGTCTTCTCTCGACGTGAAAAAGTATCTGTTAAGGCATTTGATGTCATTTTCATGCTGATGGTGGGATTGATAGTTGATGATGCTTTATTCGCGCATACGCTACCACTATTATCGATATGACACGCCCCTATCATCGAACGCGTTTCGTCATTATAGTAGGCACGTACAGTCGGGCAAAACTTTTACTCTTGTGCGCAGCTGCCATGTTTTGTTTTTTTGCCTCTCATCGCCGTATTAAGGAACAAATTTACAAAAAGATTATTTGTGGACACTTGCACTGTGGGAATAAAATTGTCCTCACCTTTTTCTGAAACTTAATTCAGTCGCATGGCAAAAATGCACACAAAACACTGCCACTTATGTACGATACCTAAAGATTTGGCCGACTGTACAAATTGGGCGTTTCTCAAATTTTGGCTTGCACTACAACCCCGACAATGTAAAGATAGATTAGTATGTGAGCCTGTGGTTGTTAGTACGCGGTTGTGGTGTCTTGACTTTCTTCTGTGTCCATGTTTGCGCACCCAGTCTTCTAGAATCTTGAAATTTTGCGAAAAACTTTGTAACTTGTGCATAGATAATACCATACGGGTTGACTGTGCCGAATTCACATGGCTGGTGTTATAAATCGGACTTTCATTACAATGCACGTATAGACTGGTACTTCTTAGTAAGTTCTTCGACCAGGAGCAAGAAACAAAAGTTGGGCCGCTTATCTGTAACATATGAAGGCGAAGCTCTGCTGCACTCCTACAGTAATATACTATTATGTTACGCTAATAGGAATAATTTGAGGATGATGAATCGGCTTAAGTGTTAGAGACAAGCAGACCTCTGTCGATTGCAACAGTAACTTAGCCAGAATTGCTTTTAGGAGGTGGGTATTTCAACAATTACTTATGTATGGTTGTGCGTTCGTTAGCATATTTTCATGTATACACGTATATACAGTTGCGAAATTCGTCTTCTCAAAGATGGGGAGTGGAGGGGGGCAAATATGATCAATATTTTTATAGCACACGCCTCCCGAACATTGCGTTGCGCTGACAAATTGATGTAGATTGTTCCAAGCACTGGCAATGGATATTGCGCTTTGTTTCGAAAACTGCTCCCGCCCTTTCCGATAGTGGTAGTGGTGCTGTTGTCGGAACCTATACCACGTGTCACCGCATTTTCGAAGGACCTATGAAATAGGCGGGTGGTATACATTTTTACACTAGTGTGTGAACAGAATTTCCGCTAAATCACAATCGTCATTCTACACAAACAAAAATTCTAGCCAGTGCACGTTAAAGGGGCCCCGCAACAATTTGTGAGCACGGTCGGATAACGCTGCCGCTCGCTAATCGAGGCTCCCGACAGCACGCGAACAAAACGTAACACCGCACGTAGCTGCAATTTTCAATAAATTACCAATGTCAGCTAAATATTGCTTTTTATTGTCTAGACAAATGATAATGTATGCTCAAAAATGTTTTCCTGACAAGCCCCAAAATTACGCCGTTGGCTGATTTGAACGTGGCGTATCCGAGAGTTACTGTGGATGTCGCGGAAAGTGGCAACCAGTCTGCGCGTGCGCCCATGATCGCACTGAAAATTCGCGCGTTCGAAAAAAAAAATAAAGAGAAAAAGACTCAAGGTCACGAGGCGCGCGTGACGTAACTTCTTCTCTCGTGTTATCCTCCCTGCTTAGCGTCCAGCTCTTTCGTCAGAACGATAGAACAGATGCAACAATTTCTCGTAACTCCCTCCACTCGTACTGGACGGATTAAAAAAAGAAAAAAAAAACCTGTGCCTGTCAATCCGTGAGGCAATAGTCGACTCGCGTGGCAATAGGCTCGTTTACTGAACTCATTCCATGGCTATGCCACTTAGGAACGTTGCACCCATGGAAGTAACCAACAAACCATGACTGGTTCGCCACAGAGATTTAAGACAACAACGTATTCTTTCTGTATCATGAATGCAGGGCAACTGGACGAGATTCGAAAAATTACCTTTGCGAAGATCATGTGCGAGAACTCGGACATGGCCTGGGTCACTCCGAACGTGTTTCGACCCAGCGGTTTAGGGTGAGTGGCGCACGGTGTGTCCTGTGTGAGTAAAAATGCAATAATAACTGAATTAACACGGACCTTCGTTTTAACCTTTTCATACGCCAACTGTGAATAACAATTGATAAATGAGTCAAATCGACACAACGTTGCTTTAAGGCACTCGACATTGTATTGCAAAAGTATTAATGTCATGATCATTTATTTTCAGTGTTTTAGTGAAAATTTCTAATTGAATTGCAACAAATATATGCCAATTGTGAAGTCATTCATGCTCCGTTTTTTCGTTAACAGAAGGAAATATTCCGCCAGAAGTGTTGAATAAAGGTGTGGTCACCGGTAGAATAGAACACAATAAAGGATTTAATGACTCAAACAGGTGAAAAATTGGCCACTTATCTGCGTGGTTCACTCGCAAAAGTCGTCGAAAGACGACAGTGTTCTGTCTGGAGAGAGAGAACAAAACGTTTATTTGACGTTCTGCGCGAAAAAATCGGTGAGTACGCTCTGCGTGAGATATGGTCGCCATCTGGTAGTAACTTCAATAAACAGTTTTGTTTTTCTAGAACGCTGAGCCGTTGGTAGGTGACAGCACCATGTTGTTTTAGTGAAGCGTCGGAAACGCTTGCTTTTTCTGTTCGTAGTGTCGCATCGTCAGCGCAGCGTGATAAGCACTGCAGCATTAAAATTACGTATGTATGCATTTTAGATATGAAGAAACATACTACATAATAGTTACGTATTGATGTTTACCTAAAATATGCGTAATACTCGCACCGTCTCACACCAGTATATAAGTGTTCTGGGCTGTCACCCTGTCGTTGACGTGATGGCACATCACACGTCCTTTCAGAGGGACAGAACACACTACTTGGATGCCTTGCTGTTTTGTAGTCTTTTTCAGGTTGTGGTTTAGACCGTGCACACATAGAATAACAGAGCGTTGTAGTGAGGCGTACGGGACAGTTTTATGCTCTCAGATTAAAGTACCAAGTACTTAAAATCGTTAGCCACTTTTTGTCTGAACAGCAGCGTTGTAGGGTGCTTCAGTGAGAAAGTGTTTCGGGGCGTCCCACTCAAAATCGTCAGACATTTGTTCTGAGCCACATGTATTTGGTGCTTCTGGCCCCGATCGTCGGTTTTTTGGTACATTTTTTCGCACCTCTTCACAAGTCACAACATGGAGAAGATTGCAAAACGGTAAGACATCCAAGTGGTGCGTTCCGTCCCTCTGAAAGGGCGTACGATGTGCCAGCGCGTCAACAACGACAGGGAGGTGATACGATGCGAGGTGAATCACAGCCAGAAGTACGCGTCATGTGACCACGCGAGGTGGTACGCCCCGCCGTGGTTGTCTAGTGGCTAAGCTACTCAGCTGCTGATCCGCAGGTCACGGGATCGAATCCCAGCTGCGGCAGCTGCATTTCCGATGGAGGCGGAAATGTTGTAGGCCCGTGTGCTCAGATTTGGGTGCACGTTAAAGAGAACTTCGACCACCTGGTCGAAATTTTCGGAGCCCTCCAATACAGCGTCCCTCATAATCATATGGTGGTTTTGGGACGTTAAACCCCACATATCAATCAATCAGGAGGTGGTACACAGCATAGCACTGTCATGTGGGCCGGTGTACAAATAGGACAGATCGTATGCTGCGTGAACGACAGAGCCAGGGAACACGCAAACAATGTTGAGGCATGCGCAGTCACAGGCCACCTCTCAGCCCATTGTCGAACATGTCGGTGCTAAGCACGCTTCGACAGCACGTATGGGACGTCTAAAAGGAAGGACCCGGAAGCTCGTGTTACGGTAGAAGCTGTCTGCATAAAAACGAAAGGCACAGATTGTATCAGCGCCCCATTAGTTGTGCCATCTCGGAATGAAAGTGACTACCTTCATAACAAGTACCCTCCTTTTTTTAATCTTGTTCAGATCAATTTAATCTCTGCCAACATGTTTTTTTTTAACTGTAGATTCCGGCACCCACATATACTGTGGAGCGTTTCAGTAAAGAGCACTGCCCTCGTGTTGACTTTTTTCCTTCATGCTTACGTTTGAATTCAGCTGCAACCACTCGACATGATAGATACATTTTGAAGTCCATGACGTCACGTGCAGAGATTTAGGCGCGAAATTTGTAAAATCAACCTTGAATTGATTTTTTTTTTCTGTAAATGCACCTACGCTGGTGAGATTAACGACGTTAGAGTTTTCAGGGTACAGTTTGTCAACTTAAACTGATTCATGTTTTTTTTTATTTAGTGTTCCTTAAACTCCTCTGAACACTTCGTATCTCGCTATGAGCCGAATGTATGTTTTTCAATCTTTATAGCGCCGCATCTCGTGTGATCTTGGCTAATATTTCAGGTTCCAACTACACTTGGAAGCTCTTCTCACTTCGTCTGATGACCTTCTCTCTCCTTTTTTTTTACAACGTCTCTTTTCTCTCATCTTTTATCCTCCTTACCCCCTTCCCCAGTACAGGGTAGCCAGCCGGTCTGAGAACTGGCTAACCTCCCTGTCCTTCCTCATTTATTCCTCCTTCCTCCTCCTCTTCTCACTTCTATGGAGAGTTCGGGAATACAGGGGTGCTCGCTCTTTCCACGTTGAAATCACTTTGTAAACCACGAATATTAAATTACATTGCTAAAAAGAAAACTTATCAAACTTTCATTGTAGCTTTCGTAGTCAGAGATGGGAGGAATTGCAGTTGTACAAATCCTGACTTTTTTGTTGTTCTTTTTGCAGAAATTCGGAGACGGCGTGTTTCTCAATCCCAGACACGAACTACGCTTTATGGGCGTAGAAACTTCTTCAACACCTGTTACATGCATCACGAATCGTATCATTTGGAATAATTTGGAATAAATGTTTTGAAAATAGTGACACTGAGAGGGCGGTCAGCAAAAAAATGGGCTCAAAAGGTGAGAAAAGAAAGCCAGCTGAATAAACATTCTTTGAATAAACTGTTGAATGTTCAACTGCGCATTATCGACCTGTCCTCCCGAGTGGGTAAGTGCCGTAGTGTAGAAGAGAACAAAAACAAAATAGCCGCAGCAGTGCGGCGAGACTTAACATAACTGCATTGGCACGAAAAAGTGGCATTCCTGGTTTTCATCGACATTCATTTCATACCTTTAAATAAGGAAGCAGGCATCATTAAAAATAGGCCACCAGCACTACTGGTGTCCCATTTTTTTTTTCGCCTGTCCTTGCTTTAGGTGCTGTGAAAATATTCCGGGATCAGAAATAGGATGTTCTGTAGTTAAGTTGCCTGCACGAAATGGACCGTCAATTTCAAATCACCCCTTTTGACGTGCCTTGGTCTATCACCCGACTACAGATCCCGCTTTTTTGAGCACATTGCTTACCATTATCAGTCCTTTTGAGGATCATCACTACAAGATTCGGCATCAGCATGAACTTGACTGGCTTACAGAAAACCTGTCCTGTATATATAATAGCACACCACGGATAAAAGCTAAGGTGGAGCACGGCGAACGTGTTTGGAGTTCTGGCGTTCGTCAGGGTATCGACTGCGCTATAAATAATACTTTTCGCGAAGTATTATTTCAGGAGCAGTGCTGCCTGAAAGAAAACGTATCTTCTCGTCTATATGGTAAAGAAGCATGTGATCTAAAGGTGCGAGTCTTTTACGGTATGCTCTCTCCCGGGACACTCAATACAGGACGCCGAAATAACATCTATTCCGACGTTGCCGACCTACCCCAACCGTAGCGAAAAAAAAAAAAAGACACCGTGACGAAACACGACAAGAAAGACGAAACAGAGGCTGCTCTCCTTGTGTTTTTATTGTAATGTATTTTTGTTGGTGTTTTTTTTTTGCTGCGATCGTTCATTAACAAGCTTCATACAACGTGGACACCGAAAACCAAAGCTAAGGGTCACGGCCACTTTGGACACGGCATTAACTTTCCATTTTATTTTGGAATTTTGCATTTGGTTCATTTCGCTCTCCAAAGTAACGCGCTTCTCTGAGATAAACACGAAACAATTAGGGACAATAGAGGTCACGAGTACAATAGAGATAATGAAATGAGCTACCGCCAACGCGACCTACATTTTGAAGCTTTCAGTTTCTTAAAAAAAAAGGTGCGATTCTTTTTTTTTTCGAATCGAGCGACACGTGTAATTGCTTTTTGATTAGTTTTAAAGGACGTAAAAATTTATTGAGAAGTTAAGCCCAAAACTTCTGCAGAGTGCGCGAGGGTACTTACGCTTTGCTCTGCTGAACTCAGACGAGCACTAAACCTCCCCATAGGAAAATATGAAGTTAGAAAAGAAAAAAAAAACGTAACATGGCTTAATTATCCTCGTGCATATGCAAAGCACTTCTAGCAACTTAAATGAATTCACATAACTGGAAGGAATCGCACACTCTAATGCGCTAGCTCATAATGTGCATGGCGGGTCGTGGAAGGTCATACATGACGTTGAAGCCGAGGTATGAATATTCTGATTCCCTTCCTCTAACCTCATTTGACTAAAAAGAAAACCTAAGTGAACGTTACTGACTTAAAAGTAATAATTCGTTTCACCGCAAAGTGGGATTTAATTTTGAAAGTTATTAAGCTCAAAATACATCCACCTGCGGGAAGTAAAACGGTTAGAATGTGTTATTTTATTCCGATATTTCATAGTAACAGTTTCTTTTCTTTTTCTACAATGTCGTGAAGTACGCAATAACTCTGCGGGAGAACTAGTACAGAGACAGACCCAGAGAAAGAAAAAAAAAGACAGAGTGATAATAAAAGTCATAGCTTTGCCGCAAAGGCGAAGCAATGAATGCGATAGCAACAACTTGAAATGTCACGCGAAAATTGGCAAGCAGATCAAAACATGCCCCGCGTTGCTCACGCACAAATGACGCACGAAACGTACTCGCACGTACAGATGAACGTGAATAGGCCTCTCAGTTGTTACTTGTGTCTGAAAAACGCACCCTTTTTGCAAACGGAGACCGTGCAGCGAGTTCAGTGACTTTGTGTGCCTGGTAACTACAACAGAATCGTTCCGGTGAAAGCCCAATGTGTACAATTCTCCCCACCACGAAAGCTCACACTCTCATGAGCGTCCACCTCCCTCCCCCCCTTTTACGGGGTAAACTACGCGAAAGCCCGCGCCGCCGCGCCGTGATGATGTGGCGACGCGCGCTCATTGCGTCATCTCGCTGGTAATGCTGAAAACAAGACTGTTCTCCCAAGATTGGCATCCACAGCGGTAAGCGGCAGATATAAGTAGCCTGCCGTTTCAACGTTGAAAGAGGTGCTCCGTCGTGACTCAGTGGCTCACGCCACGCACTCACAAGCAAGATGTCGGACCTTGGATTCCGTGCGCCGGAGTCTTTCTCTGGAACATTTTCCTTTCTTCCGTTTCTGTATATATAGATACGTGTGCATATACGGTGAACGACGGCGCTTACCGACGCCGGTGGAAAAGCCTAGTAGAGAGTGTCCATGTAATTGTTATCGCTATAAGAGAAAGAAAGTGAGATAAAGTTTTGGCGTAAAAAAAACTATTTTTGGAGACGTGAGCTTGGAAGCCGCGTACCCCCGGTCCGAGTGTGAGCGTCTTAACCACTATGGCTATCCCGGCACGCTATCAGAGCACAGCATGGCATACCCTTGTGTAGCATAGTAAGGGAATAAAAAGAAAATAGGGTCTTAAAAGAGGTGTGAGAATGATGAGGAGGGGAACGGAAGAGAAGATATGAAAAATAAAATAAGGGAAGAAGTACGTAAACAGAAAGAAAAAAAGTGTGAGTTTAAGAGAGAAAGAGAAAGGTCAAGTGGAAAGAGACAATAAAGAGATTGAAGAAGATGCAAGCAGAAAAAGAAACCCAGAAATAGAGAAAAAAAAGAAAAAAACGAAGAAAGATAAAGAGCAAGGAAGATGAAGAAATGGAGGGACAAAGGAAATGAAAAGAGAAAGAGGAAAAAGAAAGTTAAGCAGCTTTGCACTAGCAGTCCTGGGTCCTAAAAGAGTGCGCAGCTGAGCAACCCTCTCTGTTTCTCTTCGGTTTTCTCTCTCTCTTTTTCTTTGTCTATTTCTCAGTTTTTCTGTCAGCATGGTTTGCGTGCCCCAACGACCAGCCGCTTTCCGCAAAGTCAATTTTGGAATGCCGGGAAGATCGAGCCTCAACGCCGAAAAGCGACGAAGGCGTTCTTGAAGTGCCTGCGAGCGACATGCCTCGTAGAACGATTGTGACATGGTGGTGGTTAGAAGAGGAAGAAGGCACCTCATTTCTTACAATCCCTCAAATTTTTAAATAACATATTATTAGATTACTTGGAGCATGCAGAAACTAAAAATATAATAGTCACAGATGCTTTCGTAAATAATCAAAAGGCAGGTGTAGGCATTGCCTCTGATTTGCTTGACTGGTCCTTTTCAGTGAGACTGCCTGATTTTACTCCAGTTTTTGAAGCGGAGCTCTTGGCGATTATTTTAGCTCTTCGAAAACTTCCATCAAATCAAAACAATGCAGTCATAATGACGGATTCTCTTTCAGTTTGTGCAGTTCTGACAGCTTCAGAGAACTCTCGAATTCTAAGCACATTCAAAACATTAGTACCCCCGCAGTTGAGACTCCCGAGATTACTATGGGTTCCGGGACAGCGTGGATTAAGATTAAATGAATTGGCCGATTCCTTAGCACGAGCCGCACTTGATGGGCCAGTTTTGTCCATTCTGCCAGATGTTGAATATATCACGGCAATAAGATATCGAAAATCAGCAATCTCCACTGATACGATAGAAAAAGTAACTACATGGACAGACTATAACCACCTCATGTTTCCATGGCAACCCCACTGGAGTCAGTCCAGAAAGCTCGAAGTCTTAATTACTAAATTTCGATGTCGTGTCCCCCCCCCCCCCCTAAACCTGTATCTACACTGAGCTGGTCAGACAACATCACCCCTCTGCGCATTTTGCGGAGAAATGGAATCACTAGATCATTATTTTTTGTATTGTCGCCGCTATGAGATACTTAGAAAAAGGTTACTAGTTATGCCATTTCGGAAAATAGACCTTAGATTGACGGCGGAAACGGCGCTAAGCTTTGGCGCCTCAGCTTTGGGACATTGCCACAGGGATGCTTTCAATGCCGTTTGCGATTATATTCAGGCAACCAAGCGTATACCTTTGTGATCTTCAATCTAAAAAATTATTTATTACTCCCCAGGGCCGAGTGAAGTAAACGCAGCTGAGTGGTAATCATAACACCTCAAATCTCAAAATTGCTCAACTTGATTTTTTTTTTCGTTTGCTCTTTTTATGTTGTTTTTATTTTTACATTAGTCTTATTATGATACCAATTCATTACACATAGTTAAAATGATCACAGAAAAACTGCACTACACTTTCTTGGCCAATCCCCCTGAGTGGGTATGAGCCAACCTCCCAGGGAAACAAAACAAAAAAAATCTGCCGCCCGGTGGGGAGCACGGCGCAGTGCCTATTGTGACATTCAAGTTCGTGTGTGCATGTGTGTGTTCCTGCTTCCCTTGCACTTTCTCCCCTTCCCCCATCCCCGGTGCAGGGTAGAAAATCGGATACTAGCTTTCAGGCGAACCTCCCCTATAGCTTTTCTTCGTACCATATATCTCTCTGTATGTCTCTTTGTGTATCTTCATTTCTATTTTTTTCCTATTTTTTGTCTTTTGTCTCCTTCTATATATAGCTTGCTTCCTCTTTTTGTCTATTGTTATACGCAGTTATGACTGCTTGATTGATTGATTGATTGATATGTGGGGTTTAACTTCCCAAAAACTACCATATGATTAGGAGACACGCCGTAATGCAGGGCTCCGGAAATTTCGACCACCTGGGGTTTTTTAACACACACCGAAATCTGAGCACGTGGGCCTACAGCATTTTCGCCTTCATCAAAATTGCAGCC